TGTATATTGTTCCTGATGCTGCGTAATGGCCATTGGCCTAATATCTGTTTGTGCAGAATAAAATTTGATTTGATTCGATCAACTGCTTAATAATTATATTAAGCACCCAAAAATGACAATGAAAATTGTTTTATAAATACCAATATGATTGCTTTTGCAGAAAGAAGAAACTCCTCTGCATCTAGCTTGTCAAAGTCACAAAGTAGATGTGGTCCGCCAACTGATAAATTTGTAAAGACCAAGTTTGGAACAGATGCTGCAACCACTTATGTGAACAGTGTAAACGAAGAAGGTGCATCAGCATTACACTATGCAGCTGAAGTTGTGGATCAAGAGAAGAGTGCCATGGTAGCAAATCGAGAAGTGGTTAAGCTGTTGCTGGAGAATGGCATCGATGTGACTTTGGCGACTAAATCGGTAAGTTAATTCCTTGTTTCAGTTTGTATTTCAAAATTTATAAATTTTAGCATGTGTCCTCCATTAATGATAATCCTCTTAAATATATGCGAACTTAAAATTGATTCAATTTTATCACTATGCCCTGATGCAGTTCTTCAGTACTTCTGATAACTGAGGAAAATTTGGTTGTGGGACTGATTTCAGACTCACAGTTCAGCATTCCACGTCTGTGCTGATGTGGGTAACAACGATGTCCTATGTGTGATCTTGGATTTCATGACTACAGCAGATGTACAAAAAGCGTTGAACAAACAGACAACGATTGGATGGACGCCATTACTGATTGCATGTCATAGAGGACATAAAGAATTAGTGCAAACCTTGCTGAATAATCATGCCAGGGTCGATGTTTTCGACGTAGAGGGCAGATCTGCTTTACATTTGGCTGCTGATCGTGGATATTTACAGGTCAATTCATTTTGGAAATTGAATGAATAAAAATTACGATTTTCGAATAGGTAGTTGACAATTTGCAAAGAAACTCAAATGGGAAAATTAAACGTAAATTTTTAGTAATACGAATTCATAAGCAGCTGTCTTTTTTCATTATCTGAGTATTTCTTAGAATCACGCAGCCTATCCAATCAGAATAAGTGGAAAATTTCGTTTTTTCTGCCGAACAATAGAATTCAACGTGGAGAAATTACTCGTCGCTATTTCTCGTACGAGAATTATGTTCGGCGTAAGGTTATGCTTTTTGCAATACACGACGTTATTTTCACAAAAACCGAGCGTAATACCGAGATAGAAATACGTCGTTTTCAACTTTGAATTTTAATTTTCTGGTTTTATTCGTGGAGTTTATTCTGCTTAGAATGATTAGGACTGAGAAAAAATTTCTCTGTATTTGTTTCAAGTATTTGAATGAGTACTCGTAAGAAAAAAAATCGTTGAAAAATTATCGTAAGAAATTCACTAACGGTTGGAATCTGGACACTGACGGATCCAGGTGAGGGGTGAAGTGGAAGAAAACAGAGAATTCCCTCCTCCCCCTTTGTTATATCGGAAATAATAGTAGAAAATCACATTTTTTACCGAATTTTCAGGTGTGAGAGAGAAAAAAAATTATCATCAATCTGCAGAAATTTTGCAATTTCTCTCAAAATGGTCCTTTGGATTCACTCCTGAATTTAGAATGACACCATATTTCTGTTCCCATCGTCCCATATCACCACTTGTGATGTAATTTTTGCGAATTTTAAAATATAATTAGGTCGATTTGAATTGATTTCTAAAAAATTTATCCTGATAAGAAATGGTCACAGAACATGGATTCCTGAAAAATTGATTTCGCTCGATTAATTGATTTTTCAGCACTTCTTTCATATTTTCTGGAACTAATGAATTTCTTGGGTTCTTAAACATCGATGTTTTTTAATTTTTCGATTTTTTCGGATAATTTGAAAAAAATTGATAGTCAAAAAATTGAATTCGAAATCGATTTTTAGGGCTCGATTCAAGTTGAAAATTAATTAATTGAAAAGAAAAACAATTGGCATCATCAACCACCAATAAAGCCACGAAGAAATGCCAAACAAGATGATGTTATCAAGTTTCACATTTCTGAATAGGTGGGGAAAAGAGATAGGGACAAAGTCTGAGAAATCATACCTCAGAGTGACAGAAAAAGGAAATGATTCGTCTACATTTTCATATGAAGTATGTATTTGAATATTGAAAATCCAATGGTCCAAGATGCATCTTGGAGGTTCTTGAAGTCGAAAATGGAAAAAGCTTGATTTTTAAACTCAGAAAATGGAAAAAACTTGAATTTTAAAATCAGAAAAGCATTATTCTCAACTCTTCTGCATATTTCGAGTCGTAATTTGTATTCTCTTGAACCCAAAGTCAAATACATGTAATTTTAAGGTTTTTTAAGAAAAAAATGTTTCTACCAAAAATAATAACCTAATTTTGTTTAGGTGTGCGATTCACTTCTCAAACATAAAGCATATATCAACAGCAAAACTCGAGTTGGAAGAACACCTCTGCATCTGGCTGCACTGAATGGATTTCAGAATTATGCAGGTTTGTAACATTTTCAGTTTTAATCAAATTCTAAGAGGTTCTCTTGACTTACTGCATTTTTCACTCTGCCATTGACTAGATCTCTCGTCCAAGACCATAACGCTGTCATCGATATTCTGACTTTGCGCAAGCAACACCATTACATTGGCAGCTGCAGCTGGCCAGTTGAAAGTGTGTACTCTTCTACTAGAATTAGGTGCCAGTATAGACGCTAGTGATGACCAAGGTCAAAAACCCATCCACGTTGCTTCTCAAAATAACTTTCCAGAAGTTGTGAAACTTTTTCTGCAAAGACATCCATCTTTGGTCATGGCTTGTACAAGGGTGAGCATAATCGATGTAATTCGGATCTTGTGAAGAGGTTTCTGAAAATCTCTAAAGGAGAATTTCATGGTTTTTAGGGTGGAAATACTTGCGCACACATTGCAGCTATGCAAGGATCCGTTCGGGTCATCGAAGAACTGATGAAATTCGATAGAACTGGAGTAATATCGACCAGGAATCGAATTACTGAGGCTACACCTCTGCAGCTAGCAGCTGAAGTGGTCATGCTGAGGTTGTCAAGGTTTTGATGAGAGCTGGAGCTTCGTGTACAGAAGAAAATAGGGTTAGTATATTCTCCAGTTGAGAACAGGTGTTGCTAGATCAAATTTTTGAAAATCTGTATTTTTTCTTACTTGCGAGTATAATCCAAGCTTACAAAAATAGTACGTACTTTTTCGAATGCCATAAAATTTGAAATGCTCAATTTCAAACAACATTTTTTTTGTGATTTCATGTCAACATTTCATATGTATTTCCAGACACATTTCTCTTAAAAAAGATGTATTAATTTCTCAATAATTTACCCTCTAGAGTTTAGAAATCTAGATTTCTGTGTATTTTCATAAAAATTCGTACAAAAAATTTTTCATCAAAATCAAATATCAGTTTTTTACTGATGTGCAACTGGCAGCACTGGTTGAGAAATGTTGAAGATGGCCCCATATTTACACCTCCCAACCAAATAATTACCCCC